ATTGATCACCACAAGACTGGAGAGGAGCCGAAACAGGAAGAGGAAACCCCAGTCACAGACAAAGACCTGTACATGGACTCGGACACTCATCTTGAAGAGGACAATGGAGCAGTAGCCCAGCTCGTGGCTTGAAAAATGCCTTTCACACCATAATAAAGTGACTCTTTGACAGCCTCACTGAATAGTAAATTGTCTAATTTTTTTTTACTGAAAACACTACAAATATCTTAGTTTCACATTTTTTTAGTGCAGCGGAGGGTTAAGAAAAGATGCTTATTACATGGATGAGAAGGAGAAGTTGCTTGGTGTGTACAGAGGTGTTGAGGATCAAAAGCTATCTATCAGAGTCACACCTCTTCCCAGGTATGTGGGACAGAGGCAGTTGACCAGAAGTTGTGCTCAGAGCTTCTTAGGGAGAACTTTGACTGAAGACAACATCCAGAGGCTTTCTGCGATGTGGTGGGTGTGGACATATCTTTAAAGATTTACAGTACACATTTGCATTTACTGTGCACTTTAACTATTTCTTCTGATACATTCAGTACAGCTGTCAATGCAAAATATAAACACAATGTGGCATCTGGGGTGAACAGTTGTGGGGAAGAGGAGGGGACCAAAGAAGTGAGGTAGGAAGGTAAATGAGGGGAAGAGGAAAGAGGGAAAAAATGTGTTGTATGCTTCACTGTTGCCAGTAATTGTGTGTCTGTAAGTGTCTCCTGGTGTATGTGTGTCTGTGTCTGTGTGTCTGCGTTCCATCTCAGACAGATCAAGGGTTGAGGGAAGAAACATAGCACCATCTCCTGGCTGAGTTCCATTCATATTCCATCACATGGAATTTATTTGTTTTAAAAGCGGAGTTAAAATATTTTAGTTGTCTGTCTGAGCAAGCTTCATTATTGAATACAAATATACAGTTTCTTTTCAATTAAACTGCCACAGATGATCCATACATTATAATGTTGTCACTCTCTGAGGTGAGACAGTTTGGAGGCTGAATGAAAATATTTTAAAAGCATTCACAAAATGTTAAAATGTTCCTGACGGCATCAGGAATAATTTATTTGATCTTAAGAATAGTAGACTTTTTGGCATTAAATAAAGCTTTCAGTTATGATTGACAAGTGTGAGAAACTATATGAATTTGGATGAACTCACCACTGAAGAAGCATCAGAATAAAACAAGGCAGTGATTTGACAAAAATAGCATTTCGGGATGCACTATGTTTCTTAACTTGTGACTTTACAAGCATGACGTAGAGCCTCTCTGGTGACTGCACAGCTGCAGTCACATAAACACTTCTGCTGGTAATTCAGTTTCACCCACTTCCCTCATTCTCTTTCACAAACACACACATATCAAAATAAGATAAACACCGTAAAACCTACTTGTTATTGTTTGTTATAATTTATTTAGCAAATGACGCAGAGATTTCTTTGTGTTCTCTGTGTCTTCTTGCAATTGTGAAATGTGTATATTTTTTAAGTGGAAGCCTCAATGGAAAATCACAAGTTACTGTAAGTTGTTCTTCTCCACGCGTGACAAAGCATAATTGTTACAAATACTTTTGTCTGCCAGTTTAAACAAATCACAAATGAAAATTAGGTGAAGTTGAACTAAAACTATTAGATAAAACTCAAAAGTAATTCATCATACAATGTTAGATTTAAGTAATGGAAGGGCTATTTTGACTAATACACATCTTGATTATTCAAATCAAACAAAGTGTATTTGATTTAGAAGGTGTTGTTGAAATAAGGTGAGAACAAGTCAAAACTTTAGCTGGTGTTTATGTGTAAGAAAGAAAATCAGTTTTTTATAAATTGCATATACAATACAATATACACACTATTAATGTGATGCCCTTTAAGAATGTTAAATAACTTGCTAATAAAGATTAAATAACAGTAGAAAAGATTAAATCAATAGGTACCAATTTTTCTTCTTTTGTCCCAACACGTTGTGGGACTTTATAAGAAACTCTTACTGTAAACGACACGGAAGAAGCCCATACATAGTGTTTGACCACAGGTCTTCCTCTCAGCATTCAATCACGTTTTAATAGTGTAGAAATGTCTGACTCACACGTTATTCTTACGAAGAAGGACCTCCTTCTCCAAAGTCCTTTATAAGGGCACAAAACTTGCTCCTGTTCAGAGACTTGCTGGAGAACTATTTATTTTATTATATTATTAAGCTATTTATTGTAATTTAGTCCTTATTTATCTTTCTCGTCTTTTTTTCCAAATGTTTTTGTTTCCACACACCTATTTCTCTTACCTGTCTTCTTTTCTCTTAATCATCCCACTTCCTTTCTCTTTGTCATTTTATCTAACCGACTCCAACCCACTTTTATCCTTTGATAGTCAAGTCAGAGAGGTGCACCTCTACACAGGTATTTACAATACTTTTCATTTCAGTGATTTAGTCATAGATTTAAGGCAAATATGGGAATTTTCTTAAATTATACTGATTTCTTTCTTTCTTTTTGTCACAGATAATCACAGACGAGGGATGTATCTGCAGATGACCCTGGATGGGAGAGTGTCAGGAAGTGAGGCTCAGACACCTTACAGTGAGTATTACAATTACATCAGTAACCAACAGCATGTGGGTCTAATTTAAAATATTTTTCTTTCCCACACAATGGATCATTTGAGGCCTAGAAAATAGAGACCAACAGGAGACCTAGAGAACATCTATTTATGTTTCTGTGTTTCCAGGTGTGCTAGAGCTGAAATCAGTTAAACCAGGCCATATAGTCATCAAGGGACAGTCGTCATCTCTGTTTCTCTGTGTGGACAGTGGAGGCCATCTGAGGGGGCAGGTACAGTAAGCAAAGAAAACTTTACTATCCTAATGTCTCTGTCCTTCCTGTCCTTCACTGACAGTTTACATCTGTTGTCCATTTCAGAGGCTCTACACAGAGGCTGACTGCACCTTCAGAGAACTGCTGCTGGCAGATGGATACACGCGTTTCCTTTCCTCGCACCATGGATTTCCTGTGTCTCTGGCATCAAAGCATTCCCCAGATCGAAACACAGTACCCTTCACTCGATTCCTACCACTTAGGAATACCTTGGCAGGGGAGAGTGGGTCTGAACAACCACCAAACAATCAGAGATATTTCAACATGGACTCTGATGATCTTCTTGGAATGGGTCTAAACACTATGGTCAGTCCTCAGTTCTCACTGGACAAGTAAAAAGAAGATGAATTGAACAGATACATAACTATATGTACCTGGTTGAAATAGATTTTTTTAATGACCAGAAGAGACCTGATTTTGTTAAGTAATGAGCAGCTTGGTTATTTTGGTTTTTAGCATTAACTAATATAACTTATTTATTTATTGTGTGTGTGGTGTATTTCTAATAGTTATTTAAAGAATGAATAATTTTGACTACAGCTCTTGAGGGTTTTTTTTTGTTTAGTAGTTTGAAAGGATGTCCGTGTCTTAGAAAGAAATAGACCATGTTGCAACATCTTTTGGAGTTCTTCCAAATTGAATGTGACTGGAAAGTCCAACAAGCTTGTGTTTGTACTACTCGAATGTATTTATCAAACCGAAGAGAATGAAAATAAACATGATATAAATTACGTTTTTGTTTGTCGTAGTCTTTCATGCAATGATACAGCAGTTTAATGAAACAATTACAGGAAGGAGAATGAGAAGAACGCATTCACAGCTCATGGTGGCGGTGAGTAAAAATGGGCTGATCATTGTGAGAGCAGGAGCGTCCTCTAGTGGACAAATGAGTAATGATGAAAACTAGGCCAAGTTCCCTAATCCACTTTATTTGAGCTCTGGTGATCATTTCACTTTTGTGTCTTTTGGTTGGGCAAACCTAAAGTTTCTCAGTTGTTATACAGTACACTATATTTAACCAGTGGTATTTTCCTTTAATGTGTAAAGCATTCTGGGAATTCTACAGTTCTGCTGTATAAATTGTCTTTATTGTATATTCTGAGTCATTACAGTCACGTGCAGTTAGTTAGAGAGGCCGGGCTACAATTCAACAAAAAATATAATTATATATATATTTATATTTATTTACTGAAAGACAGAAGGTTTTTGTATTTGATGGCAAAAAAACAAATTGTAAGGCCCTTTGAGGCATATTTGTGATTTTCCGTCATAAAGATTGTGTTATCAGTCTGTCTGCTATTTAGCTGAAATTCCTCTTCATAAAATAGTCCATAAACACACAAGCATAACAATGATCAGTTAGCTTTTGTCATTTATTTTTATTTTTTTCCTGCTTTGTGACAATTTTCCAATTGGTTTAGGGACCAGTTTTCACATATAAAAATTCAAATATTCATAATGTAATCATTTCACATGTAGCCCACGTCATACAAAAAAATGCAATTTGCTTGCAATGTTGTAATGTTCCCACTGATATATTTTGTTTTTTGTCTCAGTTCTGCTTCACTGATAATCTACTCTAGTACTTTCTCTAACTGTTAAACTAACATCATTATCACAAACTAAAACACATTATTGGAGCAGATGACACTTACACACACGTTACATTAGTAGACATACCTTCCATTGGTCACTGTGATGTCGTGGAAAGTCTTATGTGTTCCAGTGAAATTGAGAGCAATATTATTAGAAGCTACTGCTTATAACAGCTTAGTAGCTGTGGAAAAGGTCAGTCACATCCATACAAAAGTGAAAGACAGATTTGATCTGTTAAACTCCTGTGACTAAATGTTGCTTAGAATTTGTGGTAGCCTAGGCAATGAAGGATTAAGTATAACTGTGTTTCTTTTGTGTTATATAATATCATATCCTAAAACACTGCTATATTTAACAGGTGAATATAATTTATTCAGTGGCACCAACAAAAGTTTAAATCTTTTTTTCAGAATAATTACTCAAGACTACAAGCAACCATACACAACACTGCTTCTTTTAAGAAAATTAATAAAATATAATCTTTATTAAAAACACTGAGTGCATGATTAAGCAGGTAAATACAGAACTTTTTGCCATAGCAATTAGAAACTTTCCTCTTTTCCTCAAACACAAATGGGTAACACTGTCACTGTCAGTGTTGTATTACACCATGATAAAGGTCATGTCAGTCGCTTCAGGTCACATAAGCCAAAACTACACAAATGTGAACTTTGTACATTACTTACAGAAGAATGTTGAGAATGTGGGGTTGGTTTACGAGAGATCTCAGTCTATCTGCAGTGACAGCTCTGCTGGTGTTTGGTTGAGTTTTTATGAGACATGACATCTATATTGCCAATAATCTATCTGCTTCCACTTCAAACATTAAGCCACAAAGTGACAGTACTAAGACATCATAGTTTCAAGGCACAGAACAGACATTCAGAAAGTAATTTTCATCTCAAACACAAGCTGATAGCATTAATAAATAACAGCTCATATTATATTTATATCATGACCCTGAGAATATAAAACTTACTGTCTTTTTCTTGCTTTTTAAAAGCTATATTATACAAAACTTGCCTTTCAGAGACATTTGGCTAGTGCTGTAATAAATACCTGTAAATAAACAAGGAAAGGCAATAAAAAGTAGTAGGCACATTAGTGCTATATTTATAGTTTTACTTATCATGATTGTCCATTTGGCCAGTTCCTTTTTTCTAATTTTTCTCATCAGGACCTGCCAACTCATATTTGTTGTGTTTCATTTTGCTTTTTTTCATTTATCTTATAATTTTCTTTTACACAGTCACCCTGTCTACACTTGAGTAACCAGTGGTTCCCTCAGATACATATTTCCTCCTCTGAATTCTGTGCTCTGCCCTGTACACAGTCCACCCAGCAGAGTCCCATTCAAAGGGCTGCAGATGCCTTCAATAGCATAATAATCTCCCTCTGGATCCCTATCCCCTTCCTCTATCTCCTCCCCCTCTGGCTCCCCGTCGTCCCACAGACTCGTCTGGACATGGGTGTACTCTGTCCGATCCTCACATTCTGTCTCCCGATGGTAGAAGTAGCTAAAGTTAGACACTATGACGGGCACTGGTAGCGAGATGGTAAGCACACCGGCAATAGCGCACATTGAGCCCACAAGTTTACCCCACACTGTCTCTGGGGACATGTCACCATAGCCCACGGTGGTCATAGTGACGACTGCCCACCAGAAGGCATGTGGTATACTAATAAAGGCTGTGTTGGCGTGGTCAGCCTCAGCAAAATAGATGGCGCTGGAGAAGAGGATGACACCAATAAACAAGAAGAAGATAAGCAGGCCCAGTTCACGCATACTGGCCCTCAGTGTCTGACCAAGGATCTGGAGGCCCTTGGAGTGGCGAGACAACTTAAAAATCCTGAACACCCTCACTAACCTGATAACTCTGATGATGGCCAAAGATGTGGCTGGAGAAGCGTCATTGTCCTTAGCCAGCTCTGTTCCCAGAGTGACAAAATAGGGCAAGATGGCACTGAAATCGATGATGTTCATGACATCCTTGAAGAAGTGCGTCTTGCTGGGTGAGCAAGTGAAGCGCATGAGGAGCTCAAAGGAGAACCAGCATATACATATGGTCTCCACCAGGAAGAAAGGGTCATGGAAAACACTTTGTGGAAGTGGCATGTTTTCAGATACGTTCTTTGCCTGGGCGTGGTACTTGTAAAAATATTCCTGAAAGAAAGGAGACAAGAAAGATATAAAAACATATTTGTAAAGTAGAACAGTAGTATCAACATAACAAGAATGAAAATAGACAATTGTAATTGTAATTTGCTAATTAAATTAATCACAAGTTTGATTAGAAGAGTGATACTGCACCACTTTCACGTCTGTATGGTAATTGTTGAGCTAAGACCAAAAGCTGGTTAGCTTAGCTTAGCACGAAGACTGGAAGCAGGCTTTTGCCAGCACCTCTAATGGCCTTTTTATACCTGAAAGTCTGAACCAGGATCGAAACCAAGGTTTGTGCTTTTGTAACAATGCATAAATAATGAGCTGCATCTCCATAGAGTTGCAATTGATTAGTGTATAGACGGGTGTGTGTGTTGTGAATTCAATTTAATTCTTTTCATCCTCTCAGAAAATAATAATAATAATAATTCAAAAGCATTGGAATAATTTTCCAACTGACTTTTTACAAAGTCGTCAGACTAAACTACTCCTCACCCCATGTGCTACTGTAGCCCATTTCATTGTGTTGTTTTTCCAGACGATAGCCTGCCAGAACCTTTAGTAATTCATCTGAAGAGAATCTGTGAGAACCATCCAAAACATATATATGTGTGTGTGTATTTCACACAAGACACAACAACTTTCTGTCGGACCAAGGTTTGACTGTTCGGTCCAGACCGGGGTCTGGGGGAGGTTTCACACCTGTAATTTTGGTTTGAATCAAACTGAAAAGTCTGAAAGTCTGGATCAGACGAGGTAGGAGTTAAAGGACCTTAAAGCTCAGAAATGAATGCGTTATATTGTTTGTTTAATCTGTAAAGTAAATGACACAAACAAAACCAAAAAAAATGTATTGCCAAGACAAGAAATAACTTTCAATAAAACTGTTTTTTAAAACATAACAGTTATAATGTTAATTAGAAAGCTTTGAGCAGAGCCAAGGTAGCCGTTCCCCCTCCTACCAGTCTTTATGCTAAGCTAAGCTAACCGGCTAGCTGCTCCAGCTACATTTACAAAACAGACATGAGAGTACTCTCTATCTTCTTATCAACATTATGGCAATGGCAACTATTCCTTTAAATGTACGACCATTCTTCTTTGCTACTAAAACTACCACTATTTTTATGCTATTCTAATAAACTACATAGAAATTCATTTTTACTTTTGGCAACATTATAAAAGCGTTTGACATCTGTGGCACTACATTTCAATCATAGTTGCACCAATCTCTCTTTCAGTCCACCTGTCTTTCCATCTTCCGTGTCAGTTAGCATTACATTCAAGCACTGGATAGTGGCCATTTAAAGCATCTTACACTTAACATCAAGTTAAAAGCGTGAAAACGGATGATATGGATATAAAGGGATCAGTTTAGTATGCTGTAATGGGTTGTGTGTAACATATAAAGTTTCAGGGTAGTTTAAATAAACCTAGAGTATTTCTCATGTCTTTCAGTAGCAGGTCAGTGACAGTGTTTATTACTAAAGGTGGACATCTATGTGTTGATCTGCTCCAAGGGCTCTCCTAACACTAAATATAACCCCGTGAGATCTCCGAAGAGAAACATGAGAGCAACTTGCTGCACAGCTCCTCATCCATCTCATCCTTCGTCGCTATACCATCTCCCTGGCCTCTGCAGCCATGTAACATTGCCAATGCAGTTCAGTGGGTCTGCCGCTGTCTTGGACTCAAGTAAGTTACAGTAGTTTCCTGGCAGCTACCTTGTGCAAAGGCAGCTTGGCCTAGCGCAGCAGTCCTGGAGGAATGTGTTAACATGACCCAACGTATGCTTCTCATCCTGTGAGATCTGTTTGTCTCCGGTTCTAAGCCACTGGAAGGCTTTGGCTCACCTTTGCCTATGTGCTCGGCCACTTGTGTGACCTTTTATCAACACACCTAACTGTCTCCTCACCCTGTCTTTCCTTTCTCTTTTTTTATTTGTATTCCAAGCCCCGGCTCATTACTCTCTGTACCCTTTGGCACTTCCTGAATCCGAGTGTATCAAATTTAACAGCCGACCAAAATAATCACACCATGAGCTTACTTCACTCTCTCTTTCTCTCCCCCTCTCTGGTCTGCTTCCAGACATATTGGCAAATAGTTGTCCCCATGTCAGTATTTTTCCTTTTTACACACTGTAGTAGTCACCAAGTGTGTGTTTACCTAAACACCTGCTTCCCATGATATCGTGTTTCAATTTGACCCAGGAAGTCACACACATCCCATTCATGTCCAGGTGGTTTGATTGGTGTGATACTGAACATAAAACCACAATATAAAAATATAAAAAATAGTGGTAGGGTTACTTTTCAAAAGAGAGTTGTTAAGATGATTACTGACAATGTATTCTCTCATGTCCAACCCTTTATCTTTCACCCACCATACCAATACTTAACACAAGCTTGACATTTTTATTTGATTTATTTTATTTTTATTAGTTTTATTGACATTCCCTGTTTTTTTTAAACTGTTGATGTTATCCACATGAATGACCCCAAGATAACCATTTTTTTTTTTGTTTAAATGGAAGATACTTACCACCATTCATTCACCTAACCTTCAGGAAATTTGAAAACCATAAAAACCTCTGAATCCTCCATCCTTGACACCTTTTTATCCAACTTCCAAACAAACAGTGCAACACTTTAACCTCTTTTCCTACCTCTCGTGTCTCTTTCTCATTCCTGAAGTCGGGCAGTGTCTCCAGGCAGAAGATGAGGATGGACACCACAATGACCATAACACTGATGATGGCAATGATACGTGCACCCGATGAAGACTCAGGGTGCTCAAACAGCATCCACAGTCTTTTCTGGATTGCGTTGGCTGGCAGCGGGGTCTCCTCCTCTTTTGGAAAACCTTCGTCTTCCTTGAAGCGGTTCATGATCTCCTCTCCCAGTTCATAGAACATCAACTCATCCATGAAGATGTCCAGGGGTATGTTTGCAGGTCTTCGAAGCCTCCCACCCGACTGGTAAAAATACAGAATGGCATCAAAGCAGGCACGATTGCGGTCCAGGAAGAGCTCATTTCGAAGCGGGTCAAAGTATCGTGACCTCCTTCTGGGGTCCCCAAGCAAGGAATCAGGGAATTGGGCTAAGGTGCGAAGCTGAGTTTCATAACGCATCCCGGAGACATTGATGGCTAGTCTTTCACTCAGTGCCCACCCATTCCTCCATAGAGACCCAGAACGCTGGCTCTCTTTCTTCTTCTCTTTGTCATTCTCTTTGATCTCCTTCTCTCCTTTTTCCTCACTGTTGAGCTGGTTCTTCAGCTGCTTATCATTCTCTCCATCGCTATCTTTCCTTCTGCCTCCTCTTTCATCTTCATGTGGGTCACTGCTGTCCATCCCTGTGTGTATGCCAGGCCAGGAATGCAACAAACCAGTTTCCTGAGAATTTGTAGAACAACTGGACTTAAAAGCAAACCCTGTCTGAAACCAGAGTGATAGTTCCATCAGTGGATTTGGTTTTCAGTCGATAAGCATTACAGGTGGTAATAGAAGAAAATGGCTAAAGGTGAGACACTGAGAAGTGTCTGTTTTGTATAGTTAACATTTTCAACACAGTTAATCACGCACAAAAAGTAGCTAAGATGTATTTTAAATGTTACTCAATCATTTTATTTAAAAGGTGAAATGTGATTTAAAAAATACAAACAACAAGCAATGTTAGTACCCAGATAGTGAGGTGAACGCTTTTACTCACTAAGTGTAAAAACAGCTGCTGACAGAAACTAATGGCAGGATGAAAAATCACATTGTTCGTCTCCTGTTGCTCATCAAGTTGTCCGTCTTTCTCTCTGTCATCATGTCCGTCTGTTATATACACAAAGTCCTTGTTCTTTGGTATACCTTCAATCCACTGGCAGTCCAGCTAAATTCACTGACCAGGTCATACATAAACTGTGCTTCCAGTTGTTTGCTTAGGGAGCGTCCACGATCTTGTCCTGTCCCTTGCTGCCTCACGTTGTCGGTCTTCAAATTTTTTGGGAATGCTGTCCTGTTGAAATTCAATCTCTGCTAGACCTCTCTAACCCCTCCCTGTCCTTTCCCTCCATTTTAGCTATGAGGCAAGACAACCTTCAACCTCCCTATCAAATGTCACCTCTGCCTGGCACTGCATGGTGTTACCCTCTCTAACAAGCACGGTACTCTGACTGACAGAGGTCTCTTACTGCTCTTCATTAACCTCATTAATCATATTAATAATAATTTATGTATTATTTTATTATTATTATTTATAATTAGTTTAGTTATTTGCATTTAATGTTGTTTAATTGCTAATTTTGCTATATGGCTCAGTTGACAATGTTTGAATTGTTATGTGGGATTTATACTGGTATGATTTTTGGTCATAAAAAAATATTTTAAAGATTTTCTTGAATTTTTTTATATTTCCTAAGACTATAATTTATGTTATCTAAATGAAGACAATCACATGGGTTGGTCATGCATGATATTGCATTAGAAAATTCAAGATGTTTGCATAACTTACACAGTATGAGACACAAATATGATTGATTTCCTTTTTGTTTAGAAGTGACTCTGTGTCTACAATATGTTTACATGTAAAGTAAGTTGGTAATGAGATTGTCTTTCTGCCATCATCTAAATGGCAGTTGTAAACTTATCACCTCATAAACCGCAAGCATGCAAAATAAGCATTTATATCCTGTCGTTGTGTAATTAATTTACTATTCAATTTTCTACCATTTGGCTCATCACATCCAAAAAGCAATTTACATCAAATGTGATTAATCACATCCGTAAATTGCACTATATAATCATATAAGAATTAATAATAGAACATTATTTACTGTAGAAGGAATAACAAAAAAGTACGTTTTTCAACTCTCTTTACATTTTTTGCCTTCAAACTATATCTAACCTATCTAATATATAATATTATAATATATATCATAATATATATAACAATCAGTATAGGCTAAATATAATATTTTAAACTGTACCCTCATTTTGAAGCCAGGTACAATCTGAATCAGTGATTTTTTGCCTCCATGTTCTGGTGTATCATGTCCAACAAGCAACCATGTAAAAGTAGCCAATCAGGAGGTATGTCATTGACTTGATTGACAACCTTTTTGTCCAATAGAGAACCACCACTCCACTAACCTGCATGTACTTGTGAAGAAAACTTGCTGTGTTGGCTTGTTTTTTAACTTTTTTTTACTAGATAACATTGCAAGCTAGCTGTCAAGCTTGTGCAAAGTGGCAGAGTTTGATAGTGCTAGTATCTGAGCGTTCTTTGGTTTCATTGTAAACCATCAAACAACAGCATGTCTGTGTCATATGTTTTCAAGGCTAATACAACCTCCTTCAGTCTATGTAAGTACTGATGTTTCAATAAATTATAATAATAATTTGTGTGTTACTTGTTGAAAGGAAGCAGAAAGCCTGTGTTAGCTACCAACTTTGTCATGTATTTAGTAAAACTGGGTTTTTACAATTGTAGTACTGTAAGTATAGCCTAGCTGTAATGTTAGCATTGGGTAGCCATTTGTCTGTGCAGTAAATTGTAATCCAGAGAATGGTTATAAGGCAGTAATGGAAGGTGATGCATAAAATAGTCAGAGAAGTAGTATTTTTATATTAGAAGCTGTTGTCAAGATTTACAAAATAGTGTATTTGTGCATCATGGGTATGTAGATTTGTCACAAAGTAAAAAATTATTAGCAGTAATGACATGAATTTAGGATTGGATAAATAGGTTAACCTTTTTGTTATTTGCAGCACAATAATCATTATTTAGCTAATGCAAGTCTTATTTAGCTTTGTCACATTTCCCCCATCTTTTTAAAGATGATGATGCTTCAAGTTTAACTTGTCTGCCTCCACCTCCAAATCCTGATCAGCCCACGCCACTCTCTGAATATGTTGCCTCATCCCCTCACAGAATGCTTCAGCAGGAAAAACAGCAAACTGAACCTTGGAGGACACTACTGTACTGTGGATCATGTAAACTAAATGTTGGTTTAGTATGTACAGGAACAAAATGATATGCTACAAATGGACAAAATGAATATCTCTCATATTGCGGGTTTAGGTTCAGGCAAACATGTTTCCCATTAGCCTTAGAGAGACAATGTATGAGAAATACTGAGAAAATGAGAAAATATTATGATTCAAGTTACATTAAATGATACAACTGTACAAAAACAGATGCAGGAAAGAGTTTGCCCTTGAAAAAAATAATTTAAATGTTTAAATGTTTTTGTTATTTTCGGGGGGGTTCATTTAATTGAAGGCTGGTGCTTCAAAATGTTTAGGTCATTGTTTGCACATTTAAATGACAAACAAAAAACAACTAAGTAAACAAAGACTAATCTACCAAAACAGACACTACTGTGTATTACCACCAGAGGGAGGTGATGTTTTGGCACAAAGAAGAAATAACTGAGAGGCCTCTGCCGACATTTCCTCATAGCTGCCTTTAGTCACAGAATAAATACACTGCTCACTGGGTTGCTACATTATATTTCCATTTGATCACACGACATGTCATCAAAATGATATAACTCAGATACTATGAATCTAATGACCTTTTGTGTACATGTGCCTATAAAGCTCAGTGTCGGAAAAATAAATCAATCTTGGATGAGGGAACGCTGGGATAGAGAAGTAGATGCTTCTGGTTCTGTAAAATGGCTTTAAATCATTTAGCTTTCATGCAGCTATGCAGAGCAATCATGAGATCTTGTGACTCCCATGAGATGGCTGCACATACCAGCACAGATTCACCACCATGTAGAACAGTGTGAAATAGACACTGGGTATCCATAAGTAGAAAATGATGACTCATCAGTCCACCTTACTATTCCTTAGCAGGGGGTCCTTACACCAGCTTATGGTTCTGTGCCTTCATCGTGGATAAAATCATTTTCCATAAAGTAGTGCAGAGATTTTTAGTAACTTTGCCCCATTGAGCCGGTATTATATTAAGTTTTAACTAGCTAGGACTTCTGTGATTACTTTATCTAAATTGCTTTGATTTGCAAAACTTCTCTTGAGTTTATGCCATTAAAGAGATCGTCATATTACCTCAAATGTTATTTGACGACTAACTATCTAGCGTCTTTTGTAATTCTGATTTAGTAACTTCAAAATTAGCATTTCATTTTCATTTTGTCCACCTTGTGCACACCTCCTATTTTATTTATTTACTCTTATTTGGTCCAAGAACAGACTTATTCTGTATCAGTAAAGAAATATTATATATCCGTTAACATGTTGGTGTCGGGTTTCACGGATATTAGAAGTTAAAGTTACAGTTATCGGATATCAACATGTACTCTAATGTAAGAAAAAACTGTACTTACATTACCTCATTATTCTCAAATATCATGCCACAGTTACAGTTGACCTCAAACTTATAGATTACCGTTATATCACAAGTCTTTATTTTAGAAGCTCCAAATGGCTTAATGCAAGTCACTGGCTAAAAAAGAAACCTGACAGTTGGACCTTCTTGGAAATGCTGCTGGTGTCAAAATACACCGTGTTCTTAAACTTCCAGTCACAAATTTAATGTGTCATCCTTCAGTTTCTTGCAGGACTTTGGATTTTCATAGTGTCCTCACTTCAAGTCAGATTATATCAATCAATGTATTGTGGTACCCTGTTCTTGACAGGCCGATGAACAGTGTTAACTGTGACAGTCAGTACTGAGCGTTATAGTATAAGTCAGTATGCACAGGAGCACACATTTCATCAGTTAGAAATCTTAAACAGACTGACACACCGTTGATGTCACTTTTTCATTTATTTTAAGTTCATTTCAATGATTTTAAGCAATTTTAATGTCTCTGAAAAAGCATCTCATGACTGTTGTTCATTCAAGCTGCTATGGAGATTGGTTCACATTAGGTCGCATTGACATTCATACATTTTAAGTCTCAATAGTAGAAATATGTTCAATTATGACACTTTATTGATATGTTTCTATTTTTTCTTCAAAATATAAAAAGATAGATCATGAACATTCCATTGAAATATACTTTATACAGTTCTTGATGAGTTGTTCTTTGTGTTCCAACATTTCAAAAATAAAATCCGGCATAAGTCACAACCAGATACTCAGTGACCACCTCCTCCCCCCATTCACTCTCCTACTAAGACCGTAGTACAATGGACTAGTACCTAAGTCTGTTTTATACAATTTGATGGCATGTAAAATGAACACACATCTTTTATCTTTGGAATGCTTACGTAAATGCATGGTGTTAGTCTGTAATATTAGATGTATATATATGGACATGACTTTTGTGGTGTTACATAATTTCTAATTAAAATAAGATATTAAATATATAAGAAAAATCTATTCAGTATGATAACATTTCCTCTAAACAACTCTGGTCTTAACACTTTGTAAAATAAAATATTTTTAGATTTGTGTGATTGCTAATTCACTCTATGGAAAGCCATAAAGCCACTACATATGTGGTTGCAATCATCTGAACTGATGACAGAACATCTGTGTCTCAGGGAGCATACAGTAAGTGTCGATCAGTGGCATTTGTGGTGCAGATTGCATACAATGTCCTCAATTAAAAAAACAGAAAACATATTCAACAGAAACAGGCACATAAAGAAATTAAATGGATATCATAGAGAATAACACAACACCTTCCAAACACCTGGAGAGGACATGTCATAATACTGTCATGACACAGTTAGTGAAACAGTGGCACCGACTTACCACGTAAAGCATTTCTGTTATTTTGGTTATGTGAGTGTTACACAGGAAATCTATAACATTTTGTTAACAGATTGCAAACTTGAGAAAATAAAACAGACTTAGCTCTCTCAACATTGTAACTCATTCTGTTCAGCATGACTAAATCAAATGGCAGTATTATGCAATAGAAAAGGAAAGACATCTTTTTCAGCCCGGTATTGGCAGAGCAGTCACAATGTAGAGAATGAAGAAATGGTAAACGTAACAGTGAAAAATAAAGAGAGAAAAAAAGACAGCACTTGGCCATGAAAACACAGACAGCTGGGTGAAGCACAACGTTTTTGCAAGTGTGCACACCATTGCTAGACGTTTACCTCTGAAATATTCATAAACATCTTTGTGACCATCAAAGCCATAGTTGCTTAATGCCTTCCAAAATGGAAACTGAAATCGGGAGTTTCAAAAGATACAGGACCAAAACAAAATCCCATGGACCATTTTTGCAAATAGACAGAAGTTCTAAAACCTGTAAAACCTTGAATAGTCTATGTAGTCTACATCACACAATTGAGTCTCATATTCTGGTGAACATCCAACTGCAATGTACTAGGAATGGACAGAGGACCATTCAGCTGCCTGAGCTGAGCCCTGGACCAGCAGGGCCTGAAACTCACTTTGAATACCAAACCAAGGTTGAGGTGCTTGGAGAGCACTCAACAATGAGATGCTTTTTTTAGCAAGACTATTGTTTTATGTCAATCCCCCCTGTGGACACTGGTAATTCTCATCCTCTCTTTCTCGCAACACATAAAGTACTTCACTGACATCATTTTGGAAGCTCTGGGTCTCTTTGATTGGTGCTCACATGACTGTGTTGTGTGCTGTAGTGAGCTGCCAACTAGCCAGCTGGATGACGGCAACTCCATGGGTAACGACGGATGCAAAGACCTGACCATCTAAAAAACGAAGACGAGCTACCTCTACACACTCATGCTGACACTGTGAGTGTGAGTAGTTTTCAGTTACCTCTCGGAGGAAGACGTTTCTGCTCTACGACACGGCACAGTGTTCATAGTTATCAAGACTGGATTCATGACAAACAATGATAGGAGGCTAAGGGGATATGTCAAGACTCTGTTCCCCCTCGAGAGATTATCAAGTCATAATGCATGCGTTTTTTACACGTCACTGTGAGGTGTTCACATTATCGTTGTCTATATACTAGAATTTATTATGTTAGAAAGAAGATAGCAAAACACCTACATCCACACACACCATCAACACACCTGAGTCCTTTAAACCACACACAAACTTTGGAATGGCAGTTGGTTCCATGCAAACCTGAAATCTCTCTTGATTGTTCGCCTATATAGTATATTTCATAGTCTGTTATTGGTCTTTATTGGATAGCCTGCACTTGTACTCCCATATTTCTATTTAGGACTAGTGGAACAGAACTGCCTATCCCAGAAAAATCCTGCCACGGGACATCCAAGGCCATTACGAAACTCTTTAACACTGAGGCGTTGAAGATACTCTCGAGGTTCTCCGTTTGCCCTGCTACAATCATGTGACAACTCTTGTATTATTGCCAAAGAAAAAAAGCAAACTATGAGTACTAATCAAGCAGTCAAAGTTGTGATATGGAGAGCTGTAGTTTTAGAACTGTTGCTGCTGTTGCTGCTGCTGCTACGGTAGTTGTGCAAGTGATTAAATGAGGAAAACAGAGATTTTTAACAACATCCTTTGCTCAAATGCTATAGTTTGGCAAAGTCTTGAATGGTCGCTGTGGATTGAATGGTTAGAAAATATACTGCTCGATGCATAGCAAAGTAAAACTATGACAGAGGTTGAAAACACTGGAATGAGGAATGTAGGGCAGTAGTAGCAGAGAGATTTCATCAAACAAAACATAGTTCAGGGTGTACATTGCAAACATACATGTTTCAATATTCACATTTTTTTTACTTTTCAAAACAAAATATAGCTCTTCTCTTTCATTATAATCTTTTTTTAAAACATTAATTGCATATAACATTTTTTTAATTCATTTTATATATACTTTTTTGTATCTCTAGCACCCTTGTCTTCAACTAAGGGCTTGCAGAAAAGACAGTCATGCAAAGTATTCATGCTGGTAAACAAAGTTACAAAAATGCATTATCTTTTTTTTTTTCATTTGTTTATCTCAGCGTCCATCCTTTGTCATCGCCGTGTCTTTATAGGCAAGAGTCTGTCATTGCTCATTGTTCTTCAAAAAAAAAAAAAAAAATTTCCTGGTGACAAAATTTCCACTTCCCATCTTTTTCCAGGACTTTGATTTCATTTCATGATGCCAAATTTTCTATTAACATTTGCATCTGATTTTTTTTTTCTTTCTTTCTTCCATTCTGGACCTTTTCTGCACAGAAACTTCCTCCGAAGCCATGGATAGTTGATTTGTTTATCAAAATATAGATTTGTTCTCTTTGTACACTTCCACACTTGCTCTACTCTGGGTCCATTTCTTCTCATTTTCCCCTTTGCCTAAGGCTCCCCTGATGGGCCATCCTTATCTTGACATTGACTTGCCTGTGAAGCAGTCGTTGGCAGCAAGAGGGACAAGAGAGAGATGGGGCAGTATTCATCTGGGAATTCTTGTGCCTAATTGGCAGTGTCAGCGTTTGTGTTAGGGGCAACATTTATCTTATTGGTCCCTTTCAAAATGATAACACAGAATTTCCAGCTAATGGATAGTTTTATGCGACATAAAAAGTGTTCTTGTGGTAGGAATGTTGTTTTTGTTGTAATTTAGGCAGGCCAATATCCCTCGATATTGAAGAAAGGCTGACAACTTTTCTTTTTTGTCTCTTTTAGTCAGTCTTTTTGCTCCTCATGACTGAGCACTGTGTCAATCAGACATGGGAAAAATACTTGTAATATTTAAATGTGCATATAGGAATGGGATGATAGTGGCAGTTAAAGGACTGAGCTCTTTAAGAGGAACTTTGTACCAAACAGAGGCAGTATGAGGGTGAGTATAAACCTTATCCTAAATGGAATAGTTTTCCCAATCTACTGTACATTACAGAAGGTCATTCAGCAAGTGCATGCTACAGGACCTTTGGTATCCCACGTGGATTTCTGGGCAAGCCCATTGTACATGAGAGATAAAGATAAGTCTTTTCCCACCATTTTCTTATGGTGAATGTTTCAGGTGAGTGTAAATGTACAGTAAATGCTATACATGATCGGTGAGCTGATGCTACATGTGCTTCATTTGTTCAACTTCATAATTAGTGCTTTATTTTGATTATCTCAGTACTTGTGAAGAGGGCAGTGTTTCAGTCTGATAGAAGTGAATGGAAGACATAGGTTCAGTGGCAAACATGCTGTACAAGTGCTAAACTTGAATGAGGGACTATAATATGGGTGTCATTAAAAATACTGTGCATTTGTGATTGTTTTTCATCCGCACTGTTTGTATTTAGTGCATCTTTTTTTGGAATGTCAAGTGTTTTAATGAGTAAGACCAATCCTTTGTCTCTCATGTACTCTTTCTATATATATATATATATATCTTTTTTCCTTCACTTGTAAGGAACCCAAGAGGAAAATGACATCTAAAAGATCCTTTGAATGCATAAATTCCTCTCGCTTCAAACTGTTGAATGGATTAAGTAAAGTTATTTCCCAGCCAACAAATGCTACAATATGTTAGCAGAGATGCTACATTGTTCATTCAGTCCTTTGTGAAGACAAGTGTTTTTCGGAAACTTGTGAAGTTGCTCAGTTGTTCAGCACTGTAGATGGTACTGAGTTGGTCATCGTACAAGATGGCGAGTATAATGTTATTGTCAGAGATATGTCATCTGGAATGTGTCATCAGGAGTCCTTTTCTCTCCCAAAGTGTGACAGTGCAATGCTCAGTCAGTTTGCCGAAAAAAAGGGGGAAAAAAAGGTCAGTCAGTTGTCAAAAATGTGGTTGGAGTTCCAAGAGGCTGCTTTGGTAACAACGTGAAGGAGCAGACTATAAGATGTTTTTAATTCATGATTAACCTCTGGTCTCTCTCTCTTGTCACCCCAAAGATCTCCTTTAAACTGTCCATCCGTGTCACACCTGTCGTGTACGTGGGTTCCGCCGCAAATTTGTGTTAACCGCTTACTGACTCCTCATTAGAGAGAAGGCGAATGCTAGAAACTTAACACTGTGAAGACAAGAACAGAAACCCATTAATATTACGTTCACAGAGAATAAACATATTTTGTAAAAAAAAGTCATGCTCAGTGAAATTGAAACCTAACTTGTAACATTACGAGTAAGCACTTGTATCTAGATTGGTTTATAGAAGTGCTTGACTAATATAAACCAATCTTGGTCTTAAATTTAAGATTTTAATTGTTCTCATATTTGCAATTTGCCAATTACATGGATTTCCATAACACAGTTTCATAGTGTTACTAACATTATGTACAATAGGGAAGTAATCAGGGATTACCATTACCTGTAAACTGCTGGTTAACTGTGCATGTCAGAATGAAGTGCACAAATTTAAACTGTAATGACAACTCTATCACAGCTACAAAAACAGTCTATCTCCAACACACACAGGCAGAAAGTTGGCACACAAGTTATTCTTGAACAACAAAATCAAGAAATGGTGACAATAAAAACTGGTGGCTGACAACAATATTAGAAAAACAAACAATAGACTGAATGAAACAAGCTGCCAGCCAACTGACCGGCACCACACTCTCCACTCTGCCAAATCTCAACAAATATAGCAATTATCTTTACAGGAGTGACGTATGTACAAAACATTTCAAAGCGAACAATATTAGGTGAAAGGGAGATCATAACAAGTTATTAACTAACATGTATATAATAATGTGTGTCTGTGTGTGTGTGTGAATATGTACATGTGTGCAAACATTTTCATTTGAATGATATGTACACTTCATGGGAAAACACATTATTGACAGATGGCCACATACAAACATACTCAATGCTACTCATGGATGTTTTCACATTTAAAGAGGAATTCTTGTACTTGGTGAAGCAAGTAGTGGAATTACACATTGGGCTGACACCATTTCAGGAGGCTTAACCCCAAACTTGTGCTATGCGTCATACAAACACAGGTTCAAACTCAAGAAAATGTTTGCCAACGGTAGGTTGAGCATTTTTCATTCTTTTGCCTACAGTTATGGCAAACAGCTCTTGTATCACATGTGCTGGCATCACACATTATTTACTGGGAGATTAAACACTTCTGTTGTGGTCTCACCAGCAAACATCAATCCAGTACAAACATTATCCTTTATTGCAGCCACATTAGCGCTTCCCGTCTGCTCTTCTTTCCCCCTCTTCCTCTGTCAATTTCCACTTTACAGCTGCGGTTTTCTCCAGAGAAAAGCTGTTATCAAGACACAGTTCATATTTTCTAAAGAGTAGATAGTTGATGGCAAATGTTTAGGTAACTGTAAAGGCCCTCATACATCCTACAAGCAACTGCGGTTAACATTATGAGGAAGAGTCACCACCTATTAATCCAACCCCCTGTCGATGCTCACTCATTAAGCATATACGTTGTCATTGTGATGTAACTTTAAGGTTCAATGCCATGCCTCATTATGTGGATTTTATTAAGGTGTTCTCCTGGTGCCATATGCGTAAATCTGTAATTTTCCAAATATGTCTGCACAAAATCAGAAATAAGTTAACGGAGTATAGTTCACGATTTATAAATCTTCATTTGTGTTACAATTAAGGGCACATGCACACAAGTCTGAAGACATTATCCATTATTGGATACGAACACACCACTGTTTGTTTGAACATAAACCAGACTTTTCTGTCATTTTCTGTCTTTCTTCTGCCACCAGTAACATCCTGAAACAGTGCCAAAGGAGCATTTGTGTTGTTACATACAGCCACACTGGGGATCATAACAGCTTATTGATTGATGATAATAGAAGGTCAAAGTTAAGATCAAATGCACATTATTCTTATTCCGCCATCTTACACTGAGGTACAGTTATTCTAACAGCAATAAAATGTAATTTTGATTAATTCATTTTGCTACAAGAGGGTTGATAGCTGTTTTACCTCAGTGTGCCAAGCTTTTTATTAGTTTTCTACATTCAATGGTAAATATATGATACTCAATTAGTGGACATTACAAGCTAGGCTAACTATCTTCTTAATGCAACACCATTTAATAAACCATATTAAAAAAGATGTTTAACTGGTGTCAGTCTTCTCATTGCAATTTAAAGTTGATCAAAGAGCATTTTCTTCCCTTCTTAAGACTGTTAGAACCAACTCCTCTAATATAAAAGTAAGGCAGTCTCTGCAAGTCTCAACATTTTTATAAAAGCTGCACGTGTACTAGACATGCTTTTCAGGGTACATTAGCAACAACCATTGAAATATTTACATTTAAAGTACATTTATAATTAATATAATACAGTGCATTCACCCCATGTAGGACCAGCTCTTGTAAAAGGAAACAATGCAGAACTGAGAACACACTCAGAATTTTCCTTTGTCATTACAGCTTAATTCATTTTAAAAATAACCATATCATGTGGAGATGGTGCAGTAAAATAAAAAACATACTTTGTTTTTTTGAAATATTGAGTTAATATGTATGTACATATAAGCAGAAAGCCAGGTTCTGTCACTAAAGGGTGTGGTTAGGTTAGCTTGGCACTGAACTAAGGTGTTTACAGGATAAAACCATAAACCATTCTGATGACATACATATTAAATTATTCAATTTTGTTAGAATCTGTTCTTATGAAACTCCCTGAGCCACACTCACAAAGCATACATAGATATATTAATTTCATATGACTTTAATGTATTCACATGTGTAGATACAGATATGTACATATTCTTATTATTGACTGACCTATTAAGCATTGCTTCGAAGGTTTAGCTAGTTAAATCTAGCTAGTTTTCATGAACTCCTAAAGTGACATCAGAGCCTACTGGGGCCTCACAGAGGCACTTACAACATCTGCCTGTTTTGTTTACTTAAACAATGTTTACATCAGAGTGTCCTAGGTGATTTGCATTGGCTATGTGATATGACTCATAAAACTAAACAGAACCACAGTTATGACATTCCTCAGATCAATTTTGATTACAGTACAAGCGAATATAAATAAATACACTATCTCTATCTCTATCTATCTCGTTTTGCTTGACTGTAACCGAAAATGTACATTCAAAATAAAGTGGCATACCAGTATAATTCAAAGTATCAGCAAATTGTAACATCCACATTGTGGAGTCATTTTAAGATTACACAGTATGCATGTGCGCTTAAAAGATTTAATGAGGTTTTGTGCGCTGAGATATGATGCTCACAAAAATTACAGCCCGATATTCAAGTTTGCTGATGTGGACTAAGATTAGCTTTGAGGATTGAACTCAGGCCAATCAATGTGTGACATTGTACACGTTCTCACACATGTTTCTGCTAGTTAAATCAATTTACAAACGTACTATCCCAGAGTTTCCCTACCTTTTTCCTAAGTTCAAGCTGACATTATACATTAAGGAGCTGCTGTCCTTGGATTCACTGGAGAAACAAAGCTCTGCATGCTGTTTCAAATATTTTCAGACAACACTAAATTATTGTAATTTTTTTTGACATCATAATGGTGAAATGTAACAATATTGAGTATAAGCGTGACTAGTAGCAACTTCGGTCTGAGAATATGTGTGATGGCCTTCAGAAACCCGTATCAGATGAAGCCAGGCAAGCATTACTTCTTGCAGTGACTATATGGTAGGATCTATCCTAAATGAGACAACTTTCACAAACCTCTTAAACTCCAGTTGACAGCAGAATCAAGCAAACATTCAAGTGAGCTTTCATCTTCAATCCCAATACTGCATATCTACGTTCTCAAAGATTAGGGGTCTGGAAGCACATCGATTTTTAGACAAAATGGCAATCAGGACCGTAGATTATGACAGTAAGAATATCAGGACCTGACATTTTTTAAACAAGTATGGAAATCCTATCCTTTTTATACCAGCAAAAAATTGTTAGTTCTAAAGCACTTACAGTTTTTCCTGGTGATTTCAGTCGTATTACATTTCTGTTAATGAACTTAAGGACAGTTAAATACAACATTGTATCTTTTTTGACAAATGTTATTTTAGACAATCAGTGGTACAGAAAAGTCATTCCTTACAGTGAAATACACATTACCAGTACACATAAAGTAAATATAAAACTATTACAAAATGAAAACAATTAAAAATGGCAGTCACAACATCAAAAAGTTTAAGGACCAGTAAGACCACATTGACTTGAAATAAAACAAGACAAATGGCTCATTGTAATACTTTTGTACACGTCTTAATCAAACATAATAAGTAGACTGCCTACCAAGTCTGTGCATTTTAAGATTAAAAATAGATCTGCATATTTACATATGTATGTGCACAGCATGTTTTCCAGCATTAAAATAATATTGCATGTTTATTGCATATGTGAATGTGTCAATATTTTTTAAATCTTTTTTGCTCAACTTTTAAATGGAAGAACGATATTCTTGTGAGGATGGCAAACTGAGGACCTAAGTTACAAAAATAAAAGCAATAAATTGCCTAAAAGCGATAGCTTATTTTCAATTATTGAGGCGAAGAGTATAATACGACTGGAATATTTTTTCAAAGATTTGCCAACCGATTGCATTTGGTCATTTTATCTTGCATTTTTTTAAAGTTTAAAGTTTTAGACAAAGATTTGAACCAAAAAACAAAGAATGATGGAAAAAATATATTAAAAATATATCAAAAGTGAAGAAGAAGCAAAACTGATTAGAAAAGCTGAACATCCTTGTTTGACAGGGGGTCTCATGTTCAGTCTATTCATTTGTTGTAATATAATCCATGGTGTCTTATGACAACATGCAAGATTTAAGGGTTAGTAAATTAATATTGACTGTTAGTAAAGTGCATTTGTTTTAATTATATAATTAATTATGTAGTCATCCATATCTGACTTTGTGGGTACATTTGTTGTTCTTAGTTTATTGTCATTTTTAAGCAACTTTCTAAATACATGTCATTTAGGTTTCTTCGAAAAAGTTGTAGGCCTACAAGTACATATTTCATTTACATAACTGTCCTGATACACGTTTTTTAAAGGTCCACTCAGTCAATTACTATCATCCCATACAA